CACAGACAAAAACACTCATCACGCCAACTCCTCACTTACCGACCATCTCATTAGCCAACACTTCGAATCTGAAACAATAGCAAAGGAGAAAAAAACAAAAAAACTACTGGCGATTTTACACATTAAGGAGGCATGGTGGCAAAGGCTGTGTGGAGCCAACTGAGAACACCATGTCAGGCTGCTGTGCGGGGCTGGCCTCCTGCAAGACCAGGGCCTCCAGGTGGATGGGCAGGCAGCACCAAGCCAGCAGGCACCTATAAGGAGTTCCCAGCTCCTATTTGGTCTGAGGTCCTGAAGCTCAAAATTGCCGTAGGTGGGAAGAGAGGAAGCATCAGGCATCGGAGAGGGGGGCGTTGCTAAAAAGGATGTGTGCGACTTTAATGACCTCTCAAAGTGAGCACAACTGGACCCGGCTGCCTTCCACTCAGCCATTCACTCATGTAACAAGACTGACTGAAGACCCACTCGGTGACAAGGCCCTGGACACTGGATGAAGAGACAACACATCCTGGCCCCCAAAAGAGATCAGAGTTGAGTGGGAGGAAACAGCCCTGAGGATAAGCATGGGGAAGTGGTATCCAAGCCCCAGTGAGCTCAAGTTTGTGGGAGAGGGTGTTCAGTGGAGCTAAGAGGGTGGTCAGCCTCCCCCCTCCCAGGGCCTCACTGCAAGCCCCTGGCCCCAAGGGCTGAGCAGCGCCCTGTAAAAGCAAAGCTTGCAAGGGTGAAGAATGAAGCCCTGCAGGAGCCTCCCGGAGGGAAGCTCAGACAAGCACAGGGGTAAGGGGAAGTGGTTAAGCCCCGGGGCGCTCTAGGAGCACAGCTTTATCCAGTTTGGTCTCCGAGCAGCCTTCCCCACAGAAGGGGACTCCACAGCTGGCTGACTCGTCACACCAGTGAATCGTAGCTGTTATCGCTATGATCCTATATTCTTAATTAAAAAAAAAAAATCAAACAAGAAAGATGAAATGAAGCACCATGCTCACCTAACACCCTGGTCTTTGGAGCCTATGGCCATGCCAACATGTGAGGGGTAGGTGTGTGCGATGCTCACCACAATTCTGGAGGCACCAGGGGGCTTCGAACATTTGTGGGAAAGATTCCATTACCTTTTTCATTCAACGTTTCCAAGAACGTCTTTGCTATCCCCTGGGACATGCCTGCCTGTCCCTCAACCCAAACCCCTGCAATTCCACTTCAGTCGATCTGAGAAGAGAACAGAAGTCCGACAGGTGGTTTTTGCGGGTGTTTCCCAACACTTTCCACATCAGGGCAAACACCACACACAGTCAGTGTTGCATGACACAATGGATTAAAGTAGAGGTTACACTTCTGTGGGGCATGATGGAAAACACCAATTTCCTTTCTTTAAGTTACATGAGTAGACTAAGAAACAAAAGTATTAGGAAAGTCAGTATTAAGCAATGACTTTGTATAAATATTCACAATGCAATCTTTTGCAATCACTGAATTCAAGAAGTATATAAAGGGAGCAATCGAAGTGCTGTTCAAATATAATTTGAAGTCTTGTAGCTTTCAGCAATTGTAGAAAATGTGAGATGTTCAGCAGAGCATGAAACTTAAAGACATTAATAAGATATCTGGGGCCACAGGTGAAACTCATTCACGGCATACAGCTTAGGCAGCACTCAGTGATGTTGCCCCAGCTTTAAATTGGGGGTAGAATAAAAATTCACAGGCTCAAAAGATGCAGCCTGTATCCTGTTACAGTGAACCCCCAAGCCAAACATGAAATGAAAGTTGATCTAAACACAACTCAGAGACATGTGACTTTGAGAAAGTTCAAGTTAACAAACAAAATGAACAGGCAGCTCTTTTCTGGAAAGCCTGACAGGAGGTTTAAAGGAAGGGATTTCTCAAAGGCTCAGCTTTCTGGGTTGAGGGCTGGAGTCTAAGAACTTGCCCTGTGTTCATTAGGTACACAGGAGTGGAATGCCAGAAAATTCCTGTAAGATGCTGGGATAGCGCCAGCACTGCTCCAACCACGCCAGTTTCCTCAGTTTAAAAAAAAAAAAAAAAGCAAGGCTGTATTTAGAGACATGTCAAGTTGATTCGTACAAGACTCTCAATTAAACTTTTATGTTAGTGCATTATCTACTATCCCAAGAGCAAACTGACTGTCAGTGACACATGCTTTCAGAACTGGTCTTCGTTATGATCAAGGCCCAGACCAAACTAATAAGAAAAAATGACGTCCTGGTTCTGGGTGCACACGCTCATATAAGTGCAGGAGTTACAATCAGGTCTCCTCAGGAAGGTCACCGAGGGTCCCGAGGTTGGGTGGTGGGCAAATACCTAGAATAGTTATAGTTCTCTTAATCTGTCAGACTGTTTTGACCATAGTCTAGAGTACGAGTTCATTTTTATATCTCAATCAGTATATATATGTGTGTATATACAGACATGCATCGATAATTATGCATACTTATGTAAAACTGAAAAAAATATTTTTTATCAGTGCTCATTCCTATTTCCTTTCATTTTGATGACGATTCTTAAAGACCCACAAACTGATTTCACACCCTATTACTGGGCTTGTGGTTAGAACACACATTGTAATATGCTGGAGGTAGTCAGTGGGCCAATCTGATCTTCAGCCTATTCACAGAATAAAGGGTGTAGCCTAACCCTCTGCATGCAGCCTCACCTTCCACCTCCACCCCTCCTGGTCCACAATGCAGCCTCACAGAAGCACTTCTGGCTCAGACTTCACCCAGAAAAGCAACCTCTTGGACTAACTCGTATGTGTCCCTTCACATTTCAGTTCAAGGCTGTACATGGATCAGATTGAGCCTTCCCTGGTCGTCCCCCCACCTCCCGCCCCCCACAACACACCCCAGGTCTATCTTCTAGCCACCACACCTTATAGTACAGCAAAGGTCAGTCACACTGTGGCTCTTGGCTACCATGTCTGTCTCTTATGGTCCACTGACCCCACACTACCAGGTGTATGACACATGCTTGGTAGGCACTGCTGCCCCCGACCCAAATGTCCACCTGTATCAGGAGAAGAAACATTACCCATAGCCAGTCATCAGAACGCTATAGCTAGCCTTTAAGCACAACAGAAGGTGACGGAATCCAGAAGAGGCCTTTCGTGTATTTCCATCGATAGGGGCAGTCAGCCTTTGCAACGGGAGTCAGAGCACAGTGCAGTCGTTTCCTCAGCGCCCCATCCCTGGACCTAAAACCCCCTCTGTGAAAATTTGTTGAACGTATGAATAAACCACCGGAAGAACTTTTGAAGATTAAAGTTGTTAGGTGTGTGTGAGGGTGGGGGGAGGGGGACCTAAATGAAGAAGTGGGGGGGAGACTTGGAACAAATTCTGCATTGTTAAGCATGTTTGCAAGTGACTTTATAATCGCTAATTAGCTTTTCTCAACCACATCCCCTCTGTTGCAGGCTGTACTAGCCTCTCAATTTTAAGATAAGGGGACTCAAAACCCCAAGGTCACGCAGCAGATCAAGGTCAACCCTCAAGCCCCCAGCTGTAATAAGAATACCATTAGAGACAAGGTTAAAATAAAAGCGCTGGGGCATGGGACAAGAAGCGCTGCGCGTCTTCTCCGCACACGACATAAGACGGAAAGGACCTGTTGGGTTGCGAGCCCTATGTGCGCAGACGCCATTATTCCGTCCTTCATTTCCACAGCCCAGAGAGGCAGGCGTGTGCAGGGAACAAGGGAGCCGAGCCTAGCTCCGGAGTCCCGGCCCAGCCAACCAATCAGCAGGGAAACCACTCCGTCAGCCAGGGCACGTGGCTCCTTCACCCACTGCCGGCTCTTCGGGGGAGAAACGGAGTGGAGACTAAAATGCCGCACACCGAGCCCCACCCCCCAGAAAAAGAGCCTTATCAATAAACAAGAGATGGTCATAAAAATAAATATAACCACAGTTGAATCACAAGATAATCAACCACCCAGAAGCAAATGGCTCATTTATATCACAAACTTGCAACTCTAAATTCTAACACCCCACCCCCAAACGCATAGAAAATAAACCGCTGACTAAAAGTCTGTCTGTCTACTTCAGGCTTCTTTCTACAAACCAAGCTCGCATTTGCTGGAAAACGGCACTGGGCTTCGCAGCCACGTAACTTGGATTCCAAAGAGAGAGACGGTGAAACGTAAACTTTGCTGAAAGAAATTAATTGTGGCTGGGATTTTTTGATTGATTTACTCTTTAAAAACAGTTTGAGGGCGGAGTTCAATCTCTTCTGTTCTAAAACTTCGTTTCCACTAAAACAAACAATAAATACATTCCATAGTGCTAGAAGGAGCTGGGGTCAATACTTTTGCCAGGCCCAACTGCAGTGAATTAGTCAATTAGAACCCAAAAGTCTCCAGCTGTGACTCTCCATCTCCTCGAGGCCTAACAGCATCTCTAGCCCATGGATTAGAAAGGCCTACGGAAACAGTAACCTGCTAAGGAAACATCCACCCAGAGCACCCACAGGTCTCCAAGGAAACAACTTTCCTGTACAGTCCTTGATTCTCCAGGCTCCGGAGGTCTGGCACTTAGAGGTTGAGGAGATGGCACGAAGCCATATCTGGGGGTTCACTCAGGGATTGGGGGGTGGGGGGTGAGTCAGTTCCTCAGAGAGACATGCCTCCACCCTCCAACCTTCTTCATCCTATTCTGACATCAATCATCCATCCTTCCACGGCACTCTACTTTCCTCGGGGTTCGGCAACGCATGGCAACAGTCACACAGAACTCACAGACAATACGTACAATTGTGGGGTTTAGTAAGGAACTTAGCAGGTTACACGCCAGGGCCTGAAATGTTAAGCCTTGGTCTGTAGGAGTGCCCCTTCTCAGCCATGCCTGCTGGCCTGTCTCTCTCTCTCTCTCTCTCTGATCCTCCACCTCTCAGTCAAATGGCCCTTTGGTCTCTGCCTTGCTCAGACACGCTACAAAACTCCTTTAGTGCTGATCAATGCCCAAAAGGTACGCCACTTTTTTGCTCAAAGGCACTCACTTTACTCGTTCCAGCGGCTGAGAAAGAAGCCCACTGTTGTCTCGTGGTCTTGCTGCTGTGGTTTCTGGCACCTCTGGCTGCTACCACTGATCCCCACAGTGATCTTGGACCCACTCTGCTGGTGACTTTTCTTTCTGCTCGTCCCTGGAGTCTCCTAATCTGCTTCTGAGATGGCTCACTTTATACCCAGCTGGGCGGTAAACCTGATCAATCTTAACTCCATACACCTGAGTTGCATACTCCCACCCAGTCATTTGATAGGAGTTCCATAGAAAGGCCACAGCAAGTAATTTTACTTCACTGCAGAGGTCATGCCTCCCAAAACACTAGCCACAAACAACACAAACATACCTGAGCACACACTGAAATAAAACCAAAAAACCACGGCTGCGGAGTGGATTCTAAATCCTAGCGATGCTGTAGGATAGAGGAGTACGGCCCCAAAGACTTTTCACAGGTGCAAATCCTTACTGAGGCAGCCTGCCTAATGGAGCTCCCACTGGGTTCTAACCACTGACCTTTCGGTTCGTCTTCGTAGAGCCAATAACCACTGCGTGGGTAGGGCTCCTACCCATGGTATGGAAACCCCAGAGCTGAGGATAAGTGACGCCCAGGCCTGATGGTTCAATGATCCGTCTCTCAGGTGTGAGCTCTGCCGGAAACATGGCAGTGTGGTAACAGCCTCCAACAGGGATGAGACAAGATGATTTTGAAATAATGTACCTTTCAAAGGAGCAGGGGGAAAAGTGCTTTGAATCTCCCTTCCCACATCAACATAAGCAGATTTACTGAGATAGACTTTGTACACAATAAAATGTATCCATCGTAAAGTGTACAGCTTGATGAGCGTTGACTAAGGTATACAGTCATGTAACCACCAATACAATAAAAACATAACCCATTTCTACCACCTCCCAAAAGTTCTGTGTGCCTCTTTTCAGAAAATATTGTCTCCAAACCCCAGCACCCTAGCAACTGAGATCTGTTTTCTGTCCAGATCATGTTACCTTTCCCAGGAAATCTCATATAAAGACTCCCACAGCAAGTGGTCTTCCGAATCCCGTCTCTTTCGCGAAGCACAATGGTTATGCGACTCACGCAGGTCGCTGTGCGCATCAGAAGTTTGTCCCTCTTTTATTGCTGAGCACCGTTCTCTTTCTACCGATCAACTTTTATAATCTTCCTTGAAGCCCTGCCTTATCCTAACACCCCAAACACTATTTGACTTTTCTTGATTTTGTCCTCTGCGGCAATGCCAACCTGGGCTTAGTCACTTGCCCAGTACAAAAACCGCTCTTGTCAGGAAAGCAAGGCTAGACAGGCCAATATGAACTTAAGCAGAGAGTTGGAGGTGATCAGCCACATTGAGGAGGGGAAAAAAAAAAAGCCAGCACATGAGAGTCCAAGAGCCTAATGGACTTTATTACAAAAGTGTACCCCAGCACTGAATTAGAGAAAGTCATCCCTCCACTCAGTGATTAATCAACAAGTATGACATACTGGACTGTTTGCCCCCCCCCCCCCCCACATCTGATGGGAGGGTCGGAGCTATGCAGTAGCATCTCATTTATGATCTTTGGGGTGTTTTCAATGAGTAGCTTTTCCAGATAAACTGAAATTTAGTTTAGAAGTATTTTGAAGTACTAATTATAAGTACTGAAAAGGTGCTAATTCCACGCCTTATGAAATAGAGGCTCCTAAACATAATTAAATGTGTACAGGACGTCACAGAGCCGTTGTTATAAACAGTCTGACAGGGGGCTAACCTCAGGGGTTACCCAGTTTGGCAGACTTCTTCCTCCCCATCCAAGGTGGCCCCAGACGATTTGTTTTTAAAGAGAAGTTTCCACCACCTGCCTATGCTAGCTACCACTCTTCACACAATTGCTATCGTTCTGCTTCTAAGCTATTTTCCCTTTTGAAAATTACCAAATTTTCCATCATACAGAAAACTTCAGAGCATTAAGTACTAATCTCAGATTTAGCAACTGTTCAAAATTACCGTATCTACTTGAAATAAATTTTCCTTCTTAGTTAAAAAAGAAACAACCCATAATAACCTTTCACATTATGAAAGTCGGCTAGCCAACCTTCCAAGAGAGTTGAAAGGTGCCCTAGTAGCCCAGTGGGTTAACCATTGGGCTGCTTGCTAACTGAAGGTTGTGGGTTTGAACCCACTAGCTGCTCTGTGGGAGGAAGACGTGGAAATCTGCTGGCATAAACATTTACAGCAGTGGTTCTCAACCTTCCTAATGCTGCGACCCTTTAATACAGTTCCTCATGTGGTGGTCACCCCCAACCATAAAATTATCTTCATTGCTACTTCATAACTGTAATTTTGCTACTGTTATGAATCGTAATGTAAATATCTGATATGCAGGACCCCTGTGAAAGGGTCATTTGACTCCCAGCCTTGGAAATCCTTTGCACCAGTTTGACTGTGTCCTACAGGGTTGCTATGAGTCAGAATCTACTCAACAACAGTGGGGCTTTTTTTTTTTCTAAAACATTCGAAAACTAAAGAAATGACATCACTCACAATCCATCATCTTAACACCCATTCTTCACATTATTGTGGAATTCTTTTTCTTTTTTTGCCCATGGAATTGGGTTTCCCAAACATTTGGAAGTACATATACAACTTGGAATGTCACATTTCTAATTTAGTAATATAGCACAGGTGTTTCTTGAGGTTCTTACATGCATCACCATTTTGGCACAGTGCCAAAGTACATGGGCCAGTTACCTAACTAATACCTTCTCCAGCTTCACTTAGGGTATTTCCAGTCCCTTGTCATTTTACTTAAGGTCAATGAACATCTCTATGCATATGGTCCTATCACCTGACTTAATCTACTCAGAAGGCATATCTGGCTATTATCTTGTCCTTGGTACCTTCCTTCAGAACCAGGTCACTCAGCCACCTATCTACTCATTCACAAAACAGTTCCCAAGTTTCTACCTGGTATTAGAGATCTTTTTAGTAACATAGATTGCAGAGTAGCAGAGTAACACCTCCTCCTTGCCCTCAAGCTCACAAGCCAGCTGTGGAGGCCACAACTCACTGCACTTGAGAGGATCAGAGAGCAACAAAGAAGCAGGAGCTGATTCCCTACCAAACTGCTTTGCACTGATGATGCATGCAAATCAGCCTGGAGGAGAGAAACATCCTGTGGTTACCCAGTCTGAGCTGATATGATTGGATTTGTGTCAACTTGACTGGGCCAGGGTTTTTGGTAGTTAGGCAGTAATCCCCCATCCCATGATGTGATCTTATGCAACGCAATCAACTCCACGATGAGCTCTAACATTAACGATCAGCTCTGTGAGCAGCCAGCAGTTGTGGAGGTGTACAGCCTCTTTGGTCAGGTCACAGTCTTGACGCAATTGGAAGAAATACTCCTTGGGGGTGTCATCAGTTCCATTTTAAGCAGTCTCTGTTGGAAAGCTTGTCACTTCTGCTGGGTCTGGATCCTGCATCTGGTTTGATAACCTCCTGCCATACTGCCTGTTGATCCCAGGAGCTGCCAACCTTAGATTCATTCACCTTTTCATCCATCAGCATGTGGCCTTCTTGCTTTCTGGTTCAACTGCCACCTGCGGCTACCTGAGTCAGGCGAAGCCTCCAGCTTAATATCTGGCCCATAGATCTAAACTGAATTGAGCTTACCTGCATCCACAACTTTGTGAGCCATTTCTTCTATGTACATACACATATTTTTTCTAGGTCCATACACATATGTGCCAGATTTTGCTTCTCTAGAGAACCCCAAAAGTTGGGCAGGTGTGCTGTCCTATTCAAAGACAGGTGAGGTCTGTCCCCTCCAATGTTGATCTCATATGTGGTAGTTACATAATCTGTTGCCAATTTGAGTCTTAAGAGTGAAGGGGTGGAGGCGGGGCACATGCACACTCCCTGCGAGACATTCCTATTGGGAAGACACATGGAGCCACCCTAGGGCCCTGGAGCTGGAAGAGACACATGGAGACTCCTGCCAGTGCTGAGATGCTTCCACTGCCACTGGATCTACAAGACTTTCCACCCACTGGCCTGTGATCTTCCTGCATTTGGGCTGAAGTCACTGCATATGTTGTGTGAGTCTGAAGAGGATATAGATTGGTATCTGACATATGGGCTTATGGAGTTGATCTGGACTGGGCTGGGATGTTTCTCAATAGTCACTTGCTCTTGTATATAAAGCTCTTTCTTATACAGATATGAGTGTCTATGAATTTGTTTCTCTAGTCAACCTGGGCTAACACATCATATTAACAAAACATGGCATCCAAATAGCTTCTCTTAACCCAATGTTGACCACAGCCGAAATGATCTTTTCATTCCTAGTGTTCAGAGCAGCTGCTGTCATTGCTGATATGGAACTAAGGGTGTGTCCTACTTTCCTTGTGGCTCCAAGGAGCCTGCACATCGGCTCTGCACAGCCTCCTCCTCTCAGCAGCCAAACATTTATATCTCAGCAATCTAAGCCAAACAAGTACAGCTCTTTCTTATCCTCTCACCAAATGCAGGAAAGGCCTTTTTTACCCTTCTTTCCTTAATGGTTATGACACTAGAAATACTGCCAAAGAGGTGCGTCACCAGGGGCAGGAGAGATACCCATGGAGGAAGAAAACGAGGCAGTTAATCTTGCTCCTCAGATGAACAAAACAGAAACAGGGAGCAGAAAAGTCTGGGTCTCGCTCAGAGATCTCTGTCCAGATTTAATGAGCCTTTCTTCCTATATTGCACCTACCCGCCACCCTTGCAACCTCATTTCTCAGCTTGCAGGCTTTTTGAAAGCCCTCCTTAACAGCCTCTCACCACTTGGGAAATTCCCACAGTGAGGAACATGGAGTGAACAGAAAGAAAAAGCAATGGGAAGCCCATTGGTTCCAATAAAAGCATACACATGTACACACTTTTCTTTCGTTTGAACCAGGGAGACAACAATAATAACTCGTTTATCCTTAAAGAGTGACACCTGTTTGAAATGAAACAATGGCTAAATCATTCGTGGATAATTCACTTGTTCCTGACTGTCATCTTATTTTCTTCACCGTACAGTGCTCACATTCCATTCCATCTTCTTTCCCGCGTGTTCGTTCTCGGAATAAG